ATGTGGGGACTTAAAGTCCAAGAATTCCCCACCAAGCATGCATTGGCTAGGGAATTCTGGGAGTTGAAGTCCACACATCTTAAAGTTGCTAAGGTTGAGAAACACTGCTCTAGTATCTCTGTTTCATCCTTCTTTCCCAATAGATTGTCAGGATGTTTCCAAAATAAAACTCTACTCTAGATCCATCTAGAGTAGGAATGGTACTTCTAAGATGGTGCTTTGCTACCTGTTATCTTTGTAAGTCCTTATATTTGAAATAATTTAACATCGTAAAAAAGTTCTGCAAGATTACTTGATGCATGTGGATATCACATAGTAAATTCTACTAAGGTAGTAGTACAATATGTGGCTTATTTTATACTCTCAGGCAAAATTTCTTAGTTTCATAGATGAACCTTTTCATTAGTTCCCTTTGCAAGAAACATGGCAATTTTTATGTTTCCCTCACTTAGAAGATGACATGATCATAGTTTACATTATGTGGGGCAGTATAATGGCCTGATTTAGATATCCCCTAAATTAGAAATTAGATGAAAAAGTCTCGGTGACCATTTTGTTCCTCCCATGTGGCTGTGAAACAAAAGTTTCAAACATTTGTTTCCATGATTTTAGAAACCATCTTTTCAACTTTCCATGTAATCTAAACCTAGCAAAATATGATGAATGAAAACAGCTGATTCTTCAAACCATCGTTTCCAAAGTTAGTTTCTTTTCAGAAATTGTAGTAAAGATTAATCACAGTTTAAGATTTGGACAGTATGCAGTCGTCACAAGTTCAGGATATGCTCATCACTCTATACCAGCTTTCATCAGCCTAATTTTTTTCAGGTAATTGGGATTACAATGTCAATTCCCACAGTCAGGCGGTAGTAAATGATGATTTAGCATGATGTCCTTACACAATAATTATGAACAAACTTTTATACAAAATATTGTTCTTGCTCCCTAACATTTGAATTGAGACAATGAAACTCTGAGTAAATTGATAGCTGAGAACTAATCCACATGGCTGGAATTTGTACAAATTACTATTTTCCTGGCTGGGAAACTAAAGAAACAATTTTTGCAATTTGTCCAGGTACAGAAGTCACAAGTTTCATGTTGCAGCTTGATGCCAAACAGTTTTTAGAATTTTGGGAGGTTGGAATAATGTTATCCTCAGAGCAGCATTGCTTGTTTGTGTCCATCTAATCAGCCTTTCTATTTGTAAAATAGGACTTAATGGGAAGCCCCAGGATTCCTTGTGCAACCCCAAAGCCTCTCCAAAATTGCCATTGCATCCTAATTATTTGGACATGATCATAGGGAAGAATTATTATATACATGGGGGATAATCATATCAGTTATATTTAAATATAAATCTAATTTAATTTAATGCAAATTTAGTTTTGGTCTGGCCTTACCCATCCTTGGCATGGCACACAGCAGCCCAATTAAGTTCTTCACCCAGGAAATGTGTGCATTGCATTATAAAGAAAGAGAAATGGCAAAGTCTTGAGTGCAACTGATCGGCTAAATCAGCCTCTGGAACTTCTCACTGACTAGAAAAGAAAGGAGCGTGTGATAATATTCATATTCTTTTGTGGTGTTCTCTCACTTCTCCATGTATAATAGATTCCCATTTTATTCCAACAGGAAGTGGTTGCTAATGATAATAGGCATGTTTCAGATTCTTTACAGCAGCCATTCCCAGGAAGGGAGTCTGTATTTTTGGGACTGCAACTCCCAGAATTCCCCATCAGAGGATGCCTTCCTGGCACCTGAAAGATTTTCCATATCATTGAAAAAATAAGGAGGAACAATGCTAGGGCCAAACTAAACCAGGCCCAATGCCATTCCAACAATTAGTAGTTTTGTGAATGGCTTTTTGAAAGATCAGCAGCACATACTGTACAGAGACCTAAACAGGATCAGAAGGACAATATTGGACAAAGGTTTAATGCTCCCCATCAGTGCCTTGCCAGGTACTGACATAGACTGAGGCTCTGCAGCTGTACTATGTGTGTTTATTTCTTGCAGTTTATTTTATTAGTGTTTATGTGCTTTCCAAAAGCAGCTTATGGTAAATCAAAGTTAATATGAAAATGACTATATTCTTTTCCATAATAGCAATGTATTTTGGAAGGATTTAATTTGTGTATATTGCAAGATAAAAAAATGAGAATCGAGAAAAGTAACAGATGTAACAAAGGAGTGGGGGGAATATAGAAGTTATTTTTTATTTTGTTGTTTTTAAGTCTCTATTTGTTTATACTTACTTTCTACATGTTGATATGCTAACAAAATAATTTATTTAAAATGATAATACAAGTATTACATCAAATCTAAATGCTCAAAGATAAATATTTATATAGTAATAATGCACTCCAATATATATGTACCTTAGAAATAAATCCACCATATTTGTGAGATTTACTCCCAAATAAACTGATTACAGCTGCACATGTTTGAGCAAAAGCAAACGTAGAATTGACAATATTACATATTTAATATATCTAAAATAAGTGGTTAAGTAAGAGAGTATTAAATTAAAACCTGTGCTATTCAAAGACAGATTGAATTTTTTTAAAAAAAAGTCCTTTTGGCCTAAAAGTCAATAAGATTTGTTGTCAAGTTCTTACAATACGGAGCCTTCACTGAAAAGTTCTCGCCTTGTATTCCCCCTAGCCTAATTGTACAACTGTTCATCTGTAAGCAGAACCTCTGTGATTGATAAACTGTCTGCATATGGTGGAATGGGTTTTTCAGGTAACCTGTGTCCAAACTTTTTAGGGCCTTAAAAATCAACACAACACCAGAATTGTTGTGAAGTGTTCTGAATGCTTAGCTCAAAAATGCATCTGGGCAACAATGTTTAGTTGTGTGAATATCATCACATATTTACTCTGGCCCTTAATAAAAGCAAAACTTTTTGCTTTTAGGGCCTTCTTGAAGATGCACTGATTTATTCTCCTAGAATAGTGCCCATATTGTCACATGAATCTGACAAAGCTGGCAAATGGATATATATAGGCAAGTACATTTGGTTGTTGTCATTCTGTATATTTTCATAGATCACATCGGCTCCAATAGTTGCATAACAAGCAAATAGCAGCAGCTATTTTGTTTTTCCCACTATGGAGACATAATGAGGAAAGCTTTATTTGCTGTTATTTGTATTTTATATTGCTTTTAAAACCACAGACCCACAACCCATATGAAAAAATGGCAGATCTGCACAAAATTATACCCAGAAGCCCCCTCTGAACCTAAGAGACAAAAAAGTTGCTGTGAATAGTATTTGAAAAGGGCTGCTGTGGAGAGATGATGCCTTCTAATCCCACTTTATGTCCCCAGCACTCTTCCTATCCTGTGATTCTCTCTCTGGAAAACCATTGTGGCCTGGAGCAGCAGTCTATAATGGCCCATCACATGAAGACTATTCTAGGGGACATGCTGTTGATCCAACCACTGGATGGAGACCTGTCTAAGCAACTGCCGTCACCAGAGGTAATATAGCTTGCCTCTATTTTCATTATTTAATTGGTCAGCTTTGCATAGGTGGGTGATCTACAGCTTTCCTAGAATTTTGCAGGCTATGCAAACCATGTTGAGAATCATGAAGGACATTTGATTTGATAAATAGAAGGCTGGTCTTTTCTAGGCTTAAGGGCAAGAAGCTTGTATTCAACGAATCAGCATTGCTTTGCACCCAGTGCCAGATTTACATTTTTGCAGTACCATCGTCCCAGAAATTTGTGGGATGAGGAATTGCACATTATACAATTTCTATTATTGTAATAACTGCACTATTTTAAATTTTCATGTCATATGTTTTTTAGTTCTTTTTTTTTTTGTGCTCAAAATGACCTTTTGTGTTCTTGACTGTCTTACAATGTCACACTTGAAAAGGTGTTTTAAGGAGATTATAAAACATTTTTTTTCATACAGTATTTGTACTTCACAAAAATCTTTCCTAAAGTTTGCCGAAGTAAATGAAGAACAATGGCACTGTGGTGCTACACCTTTGCTGGTTTGAGGATGTGGGAAATCACAGTTTCCCAATCAGCTAATTAAGATTATTAGGAGGGTTTTATTGGAGAGCTAAGCTTATTGGTTTCTCTTTCCCAAATCTTACAGCAATTGAAGGGGAAGATATTAGTGAAGGGGAAAAAACTACCAGAGGACAAGACTGATCCAAGAGTGAGCTTGATCTCCAATCCTGAGGAGGAAATGCAGGAGGAAGAAGACCAGAGGGTGAGGTTTAGATCCTTGAAGGGGTGATTAAGAGAATATTAGGGAAACATCTAAGGTAGATTCTCCTTAACAGCAAACCAATATAGTTCAATGTCAAGAATGCAGCTGAAGTAGGACTACTGAAAACAGGGGTGCAAGTAGAGCTCCCTAGGTCCCAACACAAACTTCTCAGCTGGGAAAAGAATTAAAGTTATCTCTGTCTCTTTGCTTACATCTGGCAGTTATCTGGATTTTTGCAAGCCAGATATGGTAGCCCTGTCTCATGTAGCCAGATGTGTTGAACGCATAAGGTAAGGAGTGATCATCACGGGGAAGCCTGACAGGCCCCCTGTGCCTATAGCTCTAAGGTCACTGTCTTCCTGCATTTGCTGTATTTATGCCATTGAGAAAGAAGAGGGAGACTACAGAAGTACTGAATATTCTTAGGGTGGAAATTCACAAAGATCTTTTCCTCCTCCCGCCCGCCACAAATAGCCCAATGAAGAATAAGCATGTTTCGTGGCCAAAGAGTGATGAGTGATTGCCATACATAGGGAAGGAATGGAAAACTCAAAGGTGGGATAGAATGGAGTATCCCAGAAGAAATCAGACTGGAGTTCTTAACAGAGCGCTACAACCACTTGTAAATTTCACTCTTGTTGCTTTGGAAGAGGTATGCCACCAAATGAGGGCATATTTTCCTCTGAATTAAAACTGAAAATTGGAGCCATACCCTTATGCCAGTAGAAGCTTCCTTTTAAAATTGTCAGAGCAGAATATAAAATAGAGTGGTCAGCTGCAAGCCAAAACACAACCATCAGCCTCTCAGAAGTTAGCCTCTGTGTATTTTCTTTTATATATTTAAAATATTCTTGCACTTATGGGGTTGTAGTAATTCAAAGGTTCTTGCTTTCCTAAAATTCTGTAGGGAAAATGGTAAGCAATTTTATTTTGGGCAAGGTCTACGCTAAATGCTTCAAATTGGGGATTGCTAGCAAATGCTTAGCACCTATACTTAACTATAATTCCTATGATTCTTTGGAGTGTTTGTATGTATAGAACAATATGTACCCATGATGGGCAAACTTCTAAAAAAATAATGTATGTTTATAATAATGAGTTGATTGGCAAAAGTCAGTCTTTTTTCCACACAATGCATACTTTATTTTTGGAATGTGGTGCCAAAGATGTTGCTGAACAGAGAGCAAAAAGGATTATTAGACAAGTAGATAGAGAATAAATCTATTAAGGGACTATTAAATTATGATAGCTGTATGGAAGCAAGGTCAGAGGCTGAAGGCCTATTAATAAAATGTCCTGGGAACAAAAGCTGGGGAGATGGTATTGCCTTCATGCCTTTTTGTTGTCTTCCAGAAGCATCTGGTTAGCCATTGTAAAAATGGGATCTTGGATCTTTAGTAAAATCCAGTAGGACTGCTTATGTTTTCTTAGATTCTTCTTTTGGAAAATACTACTAAATGTATTTTGTATACACAGAGAACTTTTAATCTCTCTTTCTGCTTCTTTCTTCTAGTCTACATCTTCTCTCCAGGAAATCAAACCTTTGCAGGTGAGTATTCCTTGCTTCTTGGAAGGGGCCCCAAAGTGGCTGATTAAGTGTGATGAGCAAGTAAGCAAAGTTGTCTCTTACCCTACTCAAATGTAGCCAAATTTGAGGGTGTCCTCTTCATCTGGGTTGGTGATTAGAAATTGTGACAAAGCAAGGGAAGGAAACTGTCTTCTTTATTTCCTTGAAAGCCTTTGCTGATGGCTGTTCCAAGCACAGAGGGCTAGGTGTTTTGTAAAGAACATAACATAACCAGGTTCAAAGAAAATATCCCAGGGAAAGAGAGGTGTTATTGTCACAGGGTGCTAGGCCCACCTACAAGCATAATATCCACAGTTGCTTTTGGCTACTTTTCATGATTATTTCATCAAATGCCACTACAAGAGGATTTGTTTGGGGAGGGAGGTTGAACATCCAATTCAGGACCCAGGAACTTCATTCTTTGTGCTAAAAAAAGGGGATGCCAGCTCATCCCCTGCTGTGCTATAGTGTCATCACTACAGATAGCTTGGTGTTGGATCCAGAAGTAATATCTTGAAAAGAGCTCATCCTTGTAGTAGATATTCCCTCACATGGTCATTTAATAATGTAGCCTTATGTAAAAAAAGGCGAAGAGGCTTTCATGTTGAGCCTTACTTTTGGTGTCTGCATCCATATAGTTTTCTTGCTGGTCTTACAGAAGCTGTCACTTCTGGGATTTTCTGACTCCCAGTCTAACCAGTAGCCATGAAATTCCCACACAGTCCCCTGTCCAAGTACTAACTGGGACTACCTCTGCTTGGCTTCTGAGATCAGTCAGTGTTGGCTAGATACTGCCACCTGCTGAAGAAAACCTACGTAAGCAAGTCCACAGATGCTCCCAACCCCTGAAAGACACCTACAGGAGCCATGGTATGGCCTTGCAATGACTTAAATGAAGGGGGGAAAAAGATCTTCTGCCTTCTGGCTTACAAAGCTTTCGTCTCTGATTGACTGGAGTGTATTACTAGTCTCTGCTCAACAGTACCAAACTAGTAGCTATTTGCAAGCATGAATTAATTTGCAAAGCAGTATATGTTATCTGAAATGGAGTTTATTAATTGTTTGCATGTGGCATTTCTTCCCTGCCCCCAGGCAAGGGATGCAGTGCAGATTTCCCGGGAACTCTCTGATGTGGTTGTATATTGTCGGGCTGTCCCATTCCAAAGCCTGTCTGATGCCCTGCTCCACCAGAAGCCTGAAGAGATGTCATCATTCAGTGAGCGGAAAGCCAGGAAGCTGATCAAAGATTCAGGTATGGGGGATTGATCTCTTGTGGGATGCCAAGGACTCTGTGATATGCTGGCTTGCTCTGTGGCTTATTCTGGCTCAAATCTTTTTCAGTCAGCTGCCTAAGGTATATAATTGATTGTGATAAAATTAGAGAGAATGATAGCTTTG